CAGCAAACAGCACATAGAGCGAAATGAGGCATGGCTAAAATGCATGATCTGTTTGGTATTTTGAAAACAGAAACGTATAAATATACCTTATGTAGGTATGGCCCTACAATATATCATTTAAATATAGCATGATAGGTCCACTTTAACCTTTCAAGGTTGATGTCTAGTCCTAACCATATCTCAAAGGTTGGGTTACCTGCTTGACACGACCAGTATCAGTGGTTCAACTTTGTAGTCCAATCTGCCAACGCATTATGCTATGGAGTTGAAAATATCACTGTAATCTTTCAGTTTATTTAATTATTTATTTTGTCAGACACCATAAAATGATATATTTGTGTTCTATTTAAAAAATTAAAAAACCTGGGTTCTTATTCAACATTCTCTTTTCTAGAATTGTTAACAGGCAACCAAGCTGTATAAACACAATCAAAGGGATTTGATTCATCCCAGAATCCAATGTATTCACCCTTAAAAAATGCACTTAAGGTGTTTGCAGTGATTGTATAAAACATCAACACTACAAGTGGAAAGTGTTTTGTAATTGAGAGCATACACAATAAAAACAGTTTCCGTTCCTAGTGACATCAGTGTTTCCACACCAAGCATGTCCCCATATTGTAATGCACTCTATTGTCAGAGCACATTATCCCTTTCGCTTACAGATTAGTTTGCTGGCATTCAGTGGCACAGTCCTTCCCCGGTAAATATTGCATTTTTTCCAGTGAAACTATGAAAACCAACTCTCAAACTCCACCAGCTGCTGTTTAAGACTTTAGACAAACTCTGTATTTAGCCCCAGACAAGCCTGAGCCTTTTAGGTGAATTGATCGGTCCAGTGTTTTGGAGCGAATTGATGTCGCAGTGTAGTGGAGGGGGCGGTGCTCACATGATGCTGTGGTGCGGGGCAGGCACAGAGGAGTAATGTAATCAGGGACCTGTGTGTCTGCTCTGCTTAATACTCGTCTGAGTTGTTTTCAAAGTAGAATGAAACAGCCATGTCTCTTTGTTCACTTCAGACTAACTAGCAGAGCAAGGACGCCATTTTCCCTCTCCCTGCTGAGCGTCACACTCCCCCAGTGCTAACAACTCTCCGCTGTGTCAACTAACCCATCTCTGCTGAAGCTAGCATGTCCTTTATCCAGTTATGTCAGTCTCATGGAAAGCTCCCCCCCCCCACCCATAGCCCCACATGCAAATGGACCCACTATGTGGCCTCCTGCGACAGTGTTGCTTTAAAGAGTCACTGAGCTGGAAGATCCGAGCACGGCAACAAATTATGTATCTATATTCGTGGAATCACCAGTGAAAAGGAATCAGTTTCACACTGAGGTAGGGCTGCATCCTACACTAGGGCCTTTTTTTACATTCAAAGCTTGAGGTTTTGGAAATAAGCTATGATTGTCTGTTCTCATATGTTATGTCATCACATAAAACAGAATATTTAAAACCTCATACTAAATCCTCAAATTTGAATCTAATTCAACTAAAATAGCGTAATACCAATATTGTAGTGTAACTGAATCTGTATCTAAATACTGGGTTTAAACATCATGAATAGAGTTGAAAAAAAAGAAAAATCATGTTGATTTAGAACTTGGAATTCAATTTTGAAGTATTCTGCACATACTATACTCAGGTCATTAAGCCAATGCTCTTTTTTTAGATTGATTTAAACCGACGTCAACAGGTAGAGGCCTTTTCAAGGGCATTTTTACAGGACCCATGGGGGATCAAACCTTTGTCTGACCCTTGTGTCACAAGATGCCCCCCCCCTCCTCCACCAGCAGGCCACCATGCAGAGCCATATCTTAGGTTAATTTGCAACACTCCTTGTAACTGCATGGCCCTGAGGCCATATTTTTAAGTGCAAACTCATATGAAACCATTAAGTAAATTGCATTTTTCTTGCAGTGAAATTGAAAGCAGGTGGACAAGGTGTACTTTAGATAATTATGTTGTTTGGAATATTAAAGAGATTATTGTAATCCTGATGAAAAGCATACCATGTTGACAACATTTAAATATTTCCTTTTTGTTCATGTTTCCATTAGAACCCCTTTCAATTCAATGGGTTACAGTGGTATTTTCTATTTTAGATTTTTCTCATTTGAGATTAGATTATCAGATGTCCTCGTCTAAATCTAGCTGGACTGAGAGGAAATGAGCACCCTACAAAGACACTCTTGTCCTTAGTGATCCAGCTCGGTTCTAATTTTGGCCTCCTGAGACCAGCAGCCGGCTTCTATTAGATTATAGCCACGGAGCAGATGAGACAGTAGGTGATGTATTATAGAGAATAATTGGAAAATTGCTCGTGAACTTAGGAGCTCTTTGACCCAGAATAGCCATATGTCGTTCACCAACCCAAAGGATCTTTTAATGCATTGCTGTTGATGGTCTGATGTTTGTTTCACGCTAAGGAATGTCATGGGATGAACTCTTTTGTCTCTTTTAACTGGCCTGTTTGATGTTGCGGTTTCAGCTGAGTCGTCAAGAAAACCGTCTCTGCTAATGACATTAGGCTCTTAACTTAAAAAGCTATAACAAGCCTCTATTTTACTGGTGCCAGTCCCTCCCAGTTTTATGATTTTCTTTGTAAGATGTAGTATGATATGTTTCTTTTCACTTTGGTTAATAAGCTTCTCGCCATCTTTATATTGATGGGCACAGTACATTAGTTGTGGGAATATTACTAGAAGCATCTAGGGGACACTTTCAACATTTATATTTTCTGCTGTTTTCTCTATTTCTGTGTTGTGTAGCGACTTGATGGAATTGCTTCCCAGTGGTAACATACATCATCAGACCCATTAGTGTCAGTGATGAGCCATGTCTGCTGTTCCATCAGCAGACTGGACAAGTCGTACTTCTTCTCCTTCTGATTCTGACAGTCGAGTCAGTTAATAAAAAAAATCATTTAAGGCACACACAAAAACATGCTCTTGTGCACACACACTTTTGACGTTGCGTTGTGTCGTCAGTATTTGAGTCATTGCATGTGTTTTTCCATGCAGCTCACCACTGTAGTAGGAGGGGGAGGAGCTGTCTTTCTACAACAAATCAATATATCTACCCATGTTAGTACTCACCACAGTAGATGGAAGCTTTTACAAAGCTTTTTGTGGAGAAGGGAGATGATGCCTAACCAGCCTAGGGAGAGTGGAATCGCTCAGAACAATGGCGTAATTGAGGATCATGAGGGGGAGTCCCTGCCTGTGTGGCTGTGGGCCCGGGCATCTCACTGATGTCCACTGGCCTGGAGACCCCACAGCAGAGGCCTTTTCCCCCTAAGGCATGGATGTGACCTCATTCAGCTAACTGGGCTTCAAAATACCCCCGCCCTCCCACCACCCAACATGCATACACGCATGCTCACACACCACACTTGTGTGTTTTCTGTTTTTCACTGTGGCTGTGGTCCCTCTGTATGGTCAGCTCACACTATGACTCACATGACATTGCCCTCTTCTTAAAGGGCAGTTTGACCCATAACATGCTCAGTAAAGGTCTGATAGAAGAGGGGGAGAATGGTGGAGGATAAGAAAAAAGCATGTGTGTCTGTTAGAATGAAGTGGGAAGTGACTTTTCAGATATGATTTATATTAGAGCAATTAATAATTTTCTGAATTGTCTTGATGTCCTTAAGCTTATGATTGCATCTGATCAATTATATCTATATAACAGATAGTATATATATATTTTTACTTTTTTTTATATTAATACAAACAAAATGTCTGTAATAGGCTGCCTGGTCAAAGGTGTTGTCTTTAAATGCCTTGTTATGTCATTGTGAAACCGAAACATTACTCTAAAAGTGAAAAAACAGATCAAATCAAGAAATCTCCATGTCTGCATTTTTGACTGAATTCTTTTTTTAAACAATTAATCGATTATCAAAGTTGGCAGTTTGTTTCTGTTAATCAATTATTGTTGATTAGTTGACTTATTGTTGCAGCTCTAGCTGATTGACAGATTAGGTGATTAAAGAATATCACCTATTTAGATTTGATTAATCTAAGTAATTGATAGTCATTCATTTAACAAAAAATACCTAATACTGATTCAAGCTCCCATCATGAAGAAGAATTTAATAAACTGAATACCTTGGGTTGGAGACTTCTTCTTGGACCAAAAATACAATTCTAAACATTACCAAAGTCCTTTGAATGTTGTATTGGCCATTTTTATTTTTCATAAAACAAACAAATCAAAAGATTAGCAATATATTATCAATATTTTGAATAACCAACACAATTTTAAATAGATGAATCTCGTTGCTCTTGTATAAATATGATCATACAAAACCTTGTGTACAGTGAAAGAGAGAGAGAACCCGATTGGTGGAGTTTTTCCCCTCTCTGCCATCAGCTAGTGTTGCACACAGCACCATGGGTCGATGGATCAGTGGGCCGCCCACTCTCCACTCCTACAGCCCAGTGTGCGCCTCCTCATTTTGGCTCCCTGCCTAGTCTATTTGCAGCATCTCCTTCTCAGATTTGTCTTTTCTTTGTAGCCTTTCAATGCAGATATCAGGGATGTCACACATAAACAAAAAGACTGTATGACCATGTTGTTCACACAGTCCCGCTGTGCAGAATGATGCAACTCAATAAAATCAAAGAAAGCACACTGGCACTGGTCGAAAAGGATAGCTTGGATCATGTGCTGGTGAATCACTCGCACCCTGCAGCCCAAAAGAGCAGAAGGATTCTGTTTTCTCTGCTCCCTTGAGACAGATCCCTCTTCTCTATTGATCAGTGCATACTGAAAGCTACTGAGTACAAGACAAAGCAAGGTCATGTAAAGGCTTAAACCCATCAAATGAATTACACACTACCCTTGGACTCAAGTATTGTGACTTCAGAAGAAAAATGGTTTAGGGATGTTTACTTGTTTACTTAATCTGCATAAAAGTGCTTTAAACTTCTTATATAAGCCTGAAAAGAAAACATGTTATGGGTTAAACAATCAATAAGTCGCCTTTCCCCTGTCTGCAGATGGCAGGTTGCACCATATGCCCCGTTCTGTGGGAGCAGATGTCAGCGGCTCAATGGCTCCCCTGACCGGAGATCGCAAGCCGTCGGCCCCCATCCACTCCAGCCAGCCAGTGCTCTTCACCTTTGATGTGCCTGTGCGCCACTCACACCACGGCTCCCTGTCCAACAGTGCTCCCCAGGACTACCTCCTCCTCCACCAGTGCATGAGCAGGAAGACAGAGAGTGCACGGTAAAGGTCACGACCCTCAGGCGTCCTGTGTCAGTTTCCTGTTATCCATTGATGCAGGTCAACGTACAGGTTTAGGACGTTTCCTCAGCTTAGAAGCCTCTAAGGGATAAAACTACTGTGTGTGTGTGTGTGTGTGTGTGTGTGTGTGTGTGTGTGTGTGTGTGTGTGTGTGTGTGTGTGTGTGTGTGTGTGTGTGTGTGTGTGTGTGTGTGTGTGTGTGTGTGTGTGTGTGTGTGTGTGTGTGTGTGTGTGTGTGTGTGTGTGTGTGTGTGTGTGTGTGTGTGTGTGTGTGTGTGTGTGTGTGTGTGTGTGTGTGTGTGTGTGTGTGTGTGTGTGTGTGTGTGTGTGTGTGTGTGTGTGTGTGTGTGATAAATGCCCTCTGAAATGAAACATTGGTAATCTTAAAGGTATTAGTGTGGCAGATGAGTCTGAAAACATTTTTAAACAAATAAGGTTTGTGTTATTTTCTTGCATTACATTTGATTTAAAATGATGACATACTGTAGATAGTTGAAGATAGGTAACATGGATTTTAATTGTATGTTATGTTATTTTCCTTCAAGGAAAATATAAAATATGTATAAAGTACAAAATGCATCACTACAGATTATACATAGGACACACTTTTGTTTTAGTGCTTTAATATTTTCTACATTTTATTTTATTTTATTGTTTTATGTTCTATAATTCTTTTAGATTTCATGATATCAATAACTTCCATATAGTGGCTTATATTTAACACCTAAAGTGTCACTACACTAGACACATAGGACACATCTATTCAAATTAGATTTCAGTGCTTTTTTATTTAAATTAATATTTTATGTAAAATGTAATATTCATCACTCGTAATTCATTTTTTCTAACTTATGATAATGGTAATATGACCCAAAGACTTATAATAATATTTAGGGATGTATGACTGTATGAGAAAGAAGAACATTGACGGTATTGCATTGCAAAACTCCTGTAAATAAATATTTAACAGAGTTTATACAATTTTCAGTATATTAATCACATTAAAACAATAACATAGAAACACATGTCAGATGTCAGATGTTGGAAGTACTGTATATATATATATATATATATATATATCAGCTACATGCTGAGCAGGAGAACAAAAAATGGTGTTATATTAAATGCACTCCTGAGTTTCCCATTAACATTCACCTCACCTCCTGCTGCCATCATGCCCGCTTCCACGAATCAAAAGGCAGCTTCAATAATGATGCCATTCACCAGATAGCCCGGCACAGTAGATGATCAATGAGGCCGAAGCTGCAATTCATCACTCCTATAGGTTTAGACTCACACAGGGGAGAACTGCCCTCTCAGCCACACGATTTGGACATAAATCTGCTGTGTTGGACCTCTGTGAAAACCAGGAAATCAAACCTCACAATCCATCTCATCAGCTTTATGCAGATATATCTGTCACTCCCTCCCCAGCTTCTGCTCTGTGAGTCTGCTAATTACGGCAGGCATCTGGTGGCTGGGTATGATTTACGTCAGAATGAAGCTCTGCTGCTCTGATGACCAGTGTATGAATTAATCACGTAAAAAGCCCCATGATGTCAGGCAGGAGTGATGAGCAGTATTATTGATTAATGATTTGAACTCCTGACAAGAAAGCCGAAGAATTGATGAAACGCAGTCTTAGAGACAGGGAGAGCAAAATGATATGTCAATATTAATTATATTACTTTGATGCATTATTCATTTAAAATGGTTACATTTATAAGCAAGATTGAACGTTAGCATTAAAAACCTGCAGTGTAGCTAACACATATGCATAACTTCTCAAGAGAGATGAATTCAGACATAAAGAAACGACTCATTGAGGATATCTTATCTTTGCATTGGCCAACTAAGTCGGACCATTGCTCACCTAACTGGCTAGAAATGTCTAAGCTGTAGGTTTGCTCTAGTTGGCACTCAAGGTCAAGTTCTACTAAGGAGCCAGAATAAATGAGGCATGTCCCTTGGGTAAGACACTGTGAGAAAGAGTCATGGCATTTTCCTGCTTAACATGGATGCCCTCGCCCTGCCAACATACAGAAAACATGAGAACAAATCAGCTTCTCAAGGAAACGTTAAGAATACTAAAATTGAATGTGTCTGCTACAGTAAAGCTGTATGAAGGGGCTCAGACACTGACAGCAAGGTGTGTTGTTTTTTTGAAACTGTGCTAAGACCAAGAGTGCTACACTGCCATCTAGTGGCTTTAGGGGTAATAGCGTTGGACTTTAAATACTACTGTAAAAGAGACATTTCTTAGACATTTGCCATTGTTTAGGATTGGAATTTGAGCCAGATGTCTGCTTCAAGAAAGTATTTAGGTACTTTGGAAAGTGGGGACAATAAAAAATGAATTTGTGCATTTGTTTATTTGTGTGCATGTCTTTGTCTATGTTGCAGGAGTGCCAGTTTCTCCCAGGCCACAAGAAGTAATCTGTTTATGGGGAGTGACACTGCGGTGCAGAAACTCTCCCATGGCTTCTCCCACTGCCTGAACGGCATGGGTGCTCAGCTGCACGGCTTCTACAGCCTGCCAAAGCCAGGCAAACACCAGTTACCGGGACATGAGGACTCTGAGGAGGCATGTTACGTGCTTCCTCGAGGTTTCAGCTCCGAGGCACCGGCTCACAGCGGACTGGGTGAGCCGGACCTGGAGAACGAGGAGCTTTATACCTTCAAAACGCCCTGCAATGCACTTGCCACCATGCACAGCAACGAACGTGCACATGACAATTATGACCTCCCTACAACACCTGGCTCCTTTTACCAGATCCCTCGGACGTTTGATAAGAATCACAATGCCTTGACACCCTCCAGCTCGGAGTCCTCCTGCGCTCCTCCTCCCAGGCCCCCTAAACCTAGCCAGGGGTCAGAGGGGCCGTTTGGGAGCCCCCACTCAGTAGGGAGCCAGAACGGAGATGTGACGACTGCAGTGTCGGTTATCCCTCGCAGGAATACTCTTCCTGCTGTCGAGAACATCAGGCTGCACCGAGGTACATTCAATGCAATGTGTGATTTATTGCTTCCCTAATGTGTTCTTCCTGAATGCTACTTTTTAAAAAGGGGATATATAATGCTAATTTTCAGATCATACTTGTGTTTTGTTTTTCTACAATGATATGTTGACATGGTTTGATTTTACAAAACATTATTTTTCTCATACTGTTTGTCTGAGCATTCCTTTCTTTACCCTCTCTCGATTTACCCGCTACTTTGTAGTGCCTGATTCTTTAACCCACTTTCCATGTTTGCTTGCAAGAAAAGCAATGACCCACCTTTGCAAAGGGTATTCTGAAGCTAGAAGGTGAAATAATCAGATGTGGGGAAGTTTTTTTTTATGAATCTGCATGTTAAATAGGAAGGTCAGCCAAATCTGAATGGCTTGTTGAATCCTATGTTCAAGGCAGCCCACAAAAAACTGACTAGGTTGTCATATTTTACACTGTGTGAGTTGGTAGGCAAATGCAAATCACAACCTCTCAAAAAGAGAGTTTTTCATTATGTGTCCCCTTTAAACACCATCTCAGTTGACTCATAAGGATCTTTAGAAATCTCACATTTCACCTGTTTCCTGTTTTTCAAATGCAAGTCAGACTTGATCAGTCTGTTCCCTTGTGGTATGGCAGTGACTGTGTGCTTCCTCTTCCTCCCCCTCGTTCTCTCACTCTTTCCCTCTTTCTCTATCTCTCATTTTACTGATTTAACGCGAGCAGCTGAGCAGAAACAAACGGGCCAGTCTAGCACACACTGCTCTGTTGAGACGCTAATGAAATTCAAGCCATACAGCTCGCTCCAGAATGCCTCGTTCCAGGCTGATAAGCCATGAAAAAAAAAAACAGTCGCAAACACATTGCAGTGCCTCTTATTATGCTGTGTTCCCTGCTCCACTCAGGCCGTGTATAGCCAGAGACAAGAAATGACCTGCGCCCCTTGTTAGTGAGGCTACAGGCTGTTCACACACCTGTGCTGCAAAATCTAATTATAACCCAGTGAAGCATCTAATGAAATGTCACTTTTGTTCTGTTTGTTTCACTAGAAACACAGGTTATCTCCTTGAAATGTCACTTTTTTTGTATCGAAATCAGCTGTTTTTACATCATAATATTTCACTTGAGAAGCTTTTAGAGTTTTTGCAGTGGTAAATATTGATTTCTCTCTCCACAGGCTCCTCGTTTGAAACTAACAGCCATCACCGTCCCATTCATTTCAACAACTCAGGCCAGTCTGTGGAGTCTGTCAATGATGGGTTCAGCTCCTACCTGGTGAGTCACTCTCTCAGACAGATGCTGCTAGTGTGAAAACAACTGAAGAGAGAGCAAAAACACTTCCACTTTATTTATTCCAATTTTGAGAACGACGAGTTTAAAAGAGTCATGTGCCCTCTGTTTCTTCCGACATCAGAGAACCAAAGCGCCTCTGACTCGCTCAGACAGCGGCAACTCGGATGACAACTATGTGCCCATGAACCCCGGCTCCTCGCCACTCAGCGCTGCCCAGGCTGACAGTCCTAAGAATAACTACATCCCAATGAGCCCGGGGCCACATCACTTTGATTTCCCAGGATTCTCTGCAACGTTACCTGCCCGTAAGGGGAGCAGCGCCTCCCTGTGTCACCGGCCCAGTCGCCTCAGTGATGTCACACCACCACCCGTCAACCGCAACCTCAAACCTAACAGGAAATGTGAGTTTTTGAAAGCAAGGTTCTCATCAAGAATTATAGGCATTTTTGGCTTTGAATCAGCTCAAAATGTGTTGTTGTTAATTGTTTTTAAAAAGACACAAGTTGATGTTGACAGTGTCTGCTCTTGTTTTCCACAGCGAAGCCAACACCTCTTGATTTGAAGAACAATGGGATCATTGATGAGCTGCCATTTAAGAGCCCAGTCACCATGTCCTGGACACGGCCCATGTGAGTCCCATATCAGTCATTCAAGCTCGGTTACACAAGGCCACACACACACACACACACACACACACATGCACACACACACACACACACGCACACGCACGCACACACACACACACACACGGTTTGATGGTACAGATTGCTGCTGTATTTGGTTTCTGCCTGAGGTCAGAAGGTAGAAGCACTCACAGTCCTGTCTGCTTTGCTTTAGGCCTGCAATGAACTCTATGTCCTCCCAGCATTGTCGACCTATCTCTACACAAAGCATCACCAGCACTGACTCTGCAGACAGTGAGGAGAATTATGTGGCTATGGTGAGTCTCAAAAGCTGGAGGGGAGATCAGGAGAGCACATTTTGTTCCTTGTTGTAATTATCTACTTGACCTGTGTGAGTGAAACCTCCCTCTTGTCTCCCTCTTGTCCCCATTAGCAGAACCCAGCGTCTACCTCCCCTGCCGTGAGCGGCACCAGCAGCCCGGCCCTTAGGAAGTGTGGCAACGTGGACTACTTAGCGTTGGACTTCCAGCCTGGATCACCCAGCCCACACAGAAAAGTAAACAAATGATGTTGTAGAGTTTCTTTCGATAGCTAACGGGCATTGGTCTATTCATATTTTCAACACTCTTGACATAGTCTGCGAAAGAGAAGTTCAAGATGTGTTCATTGATTGACACAAAAAACATTCAATGACCACCTTTCGTACTCGTACATTTTTCAAACACTAACATACTTTTTTCAAAATGGTTAAAAACACATTCACAACAGAACAATGGCACATTTCTGCAGTAACCTTACTCAAATTAAAATAAAAACTCGGCATATCAGCATATACTGTAGCATTTCTGCCAAAAGACTAAAAGGGGTTCTGTTTTATATACTATATTTTAAAGATATTTTACAAGCTCAAGTTAAAAGGTCATCATTTATATAATGCTTCCTTTTGTTATTTTTAATTCAGGGTGTTAAAGGTGACAATGTGTGCTTTTTTTGTTAGAATTGTTGCAAGTGTTATGTTTAAACTAGTTCATTTTGTGACAGCATTTTGAAGGTTTGAGTGAGTTATGAGTTTAAATACTTTGGCTAAAATGCATTTTGGCAATGCATGCTATGCAAGGAGTTTTCACTACAATTAAGAAAAACAAGTGCAATTTGTATCAGCATTTGTTTTTATTTCCATCTCACTGCATTGCACCCTCAAGCCAGATTCTCACTCCTGCCTTATTTATCATTCTGCAGCCCTCTACATCCTCCGTGACCTCTGATGAGAAGGTGGACTACGTGCAGGTGGATAAGGAGAAGACCCAGGCGCTGCAGAGCACCATGCAAGAGTGGACCGATGTGCGGCAGTCTACTGAACCTGCTAAAGGGGTCAAGTCCTGACACTGACCTGTACAAAACAATAACAAAGAAATGAAACAAAAACCCAACCTTAAGTCAAGCATCACTAGTATCGCATTTCTATCACCATGAGTTCTGGTTGGGCTTGTTTAAGACTGAAACATTTGGACAGAAAGCCATAACCTATCCTATGCCTGTTCTCTGTGATGATTTTTTACTGCAATGCACTGCTAACACGCAGGATATCAGGCCATACAGTTGAAGCTCTGCCAAAGCTCTTCATGCAGACTGTTATATAGCGGTCTACGGATATTTGATAATGTGTATAAAGAATGTCATCCTTACTCATCAATCTATCCTTTATAAATGAAGTGTTCCATCAAAGCTGTCTCACCCTCTGCAAACAGTTTGCATCTAGCAGGTAATTTACCCAATTGCTGCCATTTTAAAGAGTAGCAGAGGCTAACTGGTCGATAACCATATTAATATACTGCGAGAGAACGCTTACTGGTCTCAGGAATGCCAAGATGCACTCCAATTTTGGCATGCAGGCTGACTCTCTCTTTTCACTTCAATCTATCATTTGTGCTGAGTCTTGCAGAAGCAGTGAAGAGATTATTTTCACTGCGGGCAATCATTTCAGCTTAGCAGTGCATGTCTGGTAAGGAGAAGGGGGGGAAATATAGCCCTACAAATACGTAAAGGCCTGTGTCAGAAGCCCTAATGATGACTGTAAAAGGCTGTTGCCTGGGTTTCAATTAGGCATGTGCCCAAACCATGTTTAATAAAAGCTGGCAGGCCAATTATTTCAATGCAGGTACATAGTCAGTAATGCACTGAATGAAAAAGGCAAGACCGGAGAAAATAAGCAGTCTCTTTGACTTTAGCTGTCAGTTCACTTCAGGTAATATTCTAATGCATTTTGTTGTAAATGTGCACTGACCAAGAACATTATTGAGTAAGATGAAGTAAAAGTAAAGCATTTCCAATAGTTCAGATATCCCCTATCTTCTCTATCTCTCCCTAGAGACCATAAATACAAGCTGAGCAGAAGGATAATAGCTTATTTCCCCATAATTCACAATCTTTCACTGATGTATGTCTCCGGTCTTTGATATTCCACACACTACAGATATGTCTCTGAAGAGTAATTGTTTCCTGTATGTAAATTATTAATAGAATGACATATTTGCAGCACATCTTGTTGACTGTTTGATGCACTTGTCTGAGACAAAAGGTGCGCTACAGTAATGTTACATTGTGCTTTTCCTGCCACCTGCCACCATGAAGATTTGCCAGGGATCAGTCACTTAAAGAAAATAGTTTAGGAAAGAATGTTTTTTTCTTAATTTCCTAAACTCTTTTATTTGTTTAATTTGCCTTACATTTTCATTTCAGTTTTGACTGTACATTTTGCCTTGGAGAAATTGAATTGTTCACAATATTATTCAATTGAGAGCCATATTGTATTTAGGGCAACTGAATGATCAGTTGGTAGTTCAACTTAAGTCCAGTATTTCATTGTGGGCTGGAACCACTGAAGGGTTAATAACCTGTTTGATCTTTTTATGAAAAGTGTGGCCAAGCAGTGCTGGATGGTATTATTGATTATTACATTAAGATTCACTTCTTAATGTTTTTCTACCATTTTTACTGCTTTTTGTATTCTTTTTATCATCATTTTTTTACTGATACGTGTAAAGCAAGTGACATTAATGAGGATGGGGTCAGGCTAAATTAAGCTAAGTTTGTTACAGTGTTTTTTCTTTTTTTTTATTCCCAACATTGAATTCTTATGATCTATACATGAAATGGGGAGGCTGGCAGTTTGAGTTGCACTGGCAGAGGCCTTCCCTGGTGAACTGTGATTCACAAAGAGCGAAAGCGAGAGAGGAAAACAAAGACTGAAGAAAAGCCTGTCTCCCTGTCAGTCTCTGAAGTGAAATGGATGTGTAATTTATTATCTAGAGATACCCGTTGTAAGCAGAAGAGCTGTGTATGTGTTGTGGTAGATTGTGAGTTGTAGTATGTTAAATGACAGCCTGAGATTGAAAACACTGCTCAGATCTACTGTCAGACTGTCACTGGGTGGACGTACTGTACTTGTAGAGATCGTTTTTTTTAACCACTGTTATTGCTACTACTGTAAAGCATTTGCAGATTGCTTGTGTGTTAATTTATTAATTTATTGTGCATTTTGCAGTCGACACTTATAAAAAAGAAAGAAAACAACCAAACAAGGAAACCCTCTCTCTACTAACATTGATGTATGCAAACTGTCTTGATTTTGTGAAGCAATATGACAGACGATGCCAGTGTCATGGTGATGTGGTACAGTTCGTTTGGGATACAACACTGTTATTCCTGTATTACGGTAGACCTTAACTGTTGACATAGAATAAATCAAGAAGTGAAAGTTTGGCGTTTTGGTTTCTCTTTAAACATGAACCAAAACACTGTTTTCTGGCAGCCAATGATGCCATTACTCATCTCTTACCCATACATTCCCAATTGGTGCTGTCATGCTCAGATGTTGAATGTCTGCTGCCCCCTGTTGTGTAGGACAGCAGCTGCATTAATAAAGTACATTGATAAATGGATAAAGGTTTGTGGAATCTGATATACATACCAGTGGTTTCAGTTAGGATATATGAATTTTTACTTACCAAAAACGTACACATATGCAATGCCATGCCTAACATTTTTGTCTCGGCATGCTGGAAATGTGAACAAAACTGCATTTTGACTTAAATTGGAAAATGATACATTTAATGTATAATATCTCATAAATAAATCAAAAATATGTTTTCCTCCAGGATGCGTTGAACTCATGCACGTGTTAATTGAATGCATGTGCTTCGTGATATGACTTTACATTTCCAGTAATGCCCAATGACCAATATCTCATTTAACCATGGACAAAAAAAAGATGACTAATCGGCTAGAAATGTCAACCAAGACCGCAATAACAGATTGACTAAAGAGAGGCAGCTGGAAAAAAAGTTGGTTTCAAAGATAAGATTTCTTCTACTACCTTCCTTTAATATAAATGCTTATAGGCAATGCATTTTTGGCGTTTTATGTATTAGTTTTCTCCTTTTATTGGCTGCAGCAGCAACAAAAACATCACTTATAAAATAACATTCTCTCTCATTATCAGTAATTATGCTACAACATTGCGTTTATATGGGTCGTTAATAATCTCTGGCTCTGTGAAGTAGCAGGGTACAGTTTTTCTCGATGTCTCATGTATTTTATTCAGATTTGTATTTGAAAATAAAGGATCTACTGGGGACTTAAATAAGGAAACAACAGCATTACCACAATCTAGAGATTTTTTCTAACAGAGGCAGTTATTAATATATAAAAAAGTCAGATGTCCTTAAATCATTGCTGGAGTACCAAAAAGCCAGGAAGGGCGATGTGAAATCTGCAATCAAGTCATTACTAACATTTTAGCTCTAACGTAATAAAACATAAACCTTTTCTCAGTTATTTAGCAGTTCTGCAGGTGTCCTCCTGTAATACAATGCATTTATGGTGCTCTTAAGTATCTCTGCTGGCTGTCAACTTCTATTGAAATCCCCATGTGTTTAAGATGATGGTAATTTAATGACTCCTAGACTGATAACAGGGTAACATCCAACAGCAAAGAATAAACTGAAACCCGAGCTGTAGTTATTGCTTCAGTAGCCTTGGAGGTCAGTTGAATGAATCTGGTGTCTGACAGCAGGTTGATCCCTCCAGGTCAGTATGGTGGTCTGAGTGTCATAAGCTGTTGTCTCATGCCTGTATAGTCAACAGTTTGGGGATTGCAATAGCTAGTTGTCTTCCCTTGTCGAAGCAGCCTGATGCTAAAGGCTGTTAAACCGTTACTTGCTCCATTGTTATTTTTACAATAATATGTTATACTTTTTATTATTTTCAAGTGTTGCTGGATCACTTTACTCTCTGGATCTGGATCGAATAAGGCTGGGCTGAAGTCTCCGAACCAACCAGCCCAATAGCTCTCTTTTGCTGAGCTAACCCTCTGGAGCAAATTCAAAAATAAAAGTTTTTTGCTGTTGTGGTTGCACAGATAAGTGTACTCAATAAATGCTTCAGTCAGACCACATTTAATTACCGTAACCAAACTTGTATTACTTTTTGATAGTCCTGCCTCCATAAAGACTGAGATGGGCCTTCCCAGAGGAGTACAAACTAAAAAGTCCTGTCATGTAACACTGTAGCATCCAGACTTGTTGGTTTTTACGGACTTAATGAAAAATGAATGTATAAGAAATGTAATTCCCTGTGAATACCAATCTCCACAAATATTATTAAGGTGTGTAAACCATTAACAGATAATACAAAAAATAGTATTAATTTGAAGGGAGCAAAAGGCAAATTTAGCCATAAATGCAGGGAAATAAAAGATGCATTTTTATTTCCCTCCACTAATATTAACTTACACTTATGATGAAATGTTTTTTTTTAGATGTCATTCGTCTTTCACATTTAAAACAATTTACAATGTTATAATTAATTTGTTGTTTTACATCACTAGAACTTTGCCTGTTCTACCTATATCTGTGTGTTTTTTCCTCTAAACTATGGGTAAGTCAGCAGTCATCTTACCCACAGGTGTTGCTTTAGTAAATGATCTAAAGAGGTGGCATAATAAACCAAAAACCAACTAAATTCACTTTAGAACGGTACTAAGTATTTTCTGCAAACACTGCTTAGAGATGTCAGTCAGCTGCTGTAGTAGACAACATGTTCAGGCACAGCAGCAGCCCTTACTTTCTGGAAATGAAGGACCCATTCTGACAGAATACATCCATGATACAAGCATGTCTGGAACCAATCAGCGATATGTTTTATGAGGTATTAATCGTCTTTTATAGGAGGCTATGTGCGTCACTTAATATGTAAGTATGCTTCATACTGTATGTGCCCTCGCAGACTAGCAAACAGTGCCAGATGTTAACTGACCGACAACTTGAAATGTGCCTATTTTCCTAATTGTACATTGACATACATTTGCAGTCTTATGTGTATACGTCTTGTCAGAATTCTATAAGTTTAACGCTACGTTTCAACAAATAGCAACTTTCTTTTTATCCATTTTGTTCTCTCTTGAGATTAAATCAATGCTGTCTGTATTTGTGGTGTTGTATTGATACCCTGGCCAAAATCTAATAGTATCACTGTCACTAATTAAGTTTATGTTGTGGCTTTTAATCTAGTTAATTGCTGTGGTATGTATAGGGCTATTATTCTAGAAACCACACACTTAATGTAACATTTCAAGCCTTAACTGTAGGCCTTAACCTAAAGTAGTAGGATATTATAGGGTACTATTAAAGAAATCTTAAACACCATCACAGAAGATATTTAAAAATATGTATATTATGCTTTGGCATGTACTTCTATCTTCAAATGTGATGTTTAGTGCCTTTAAGAAACATTATTAAGATATTTGTCCTCCTTTGTCCATGGTTGCAGGACAGTTCCCCCTTCAGTCCACTAGAGTGTGCATTTGCACCCCGCCACATCTGAGTGTATAATGTCCAAGGAGGAATGTTCATACAATGAGGGTCTGTGTATTGTAGTTCCGCTATTGCCTCGGTGCACCACACGGACAAACGATTGTCAATGGACTATTTGAGACGGATCTCAATCGGTTTATGCAACGGCTCCCTGCGTCTCGGCTGCGTGGTTTTTCTGACTTGTAATTTGCTACCAGATCCTTTTATCCGGAAGGAAAGAGCGAGGCAGAGAAAAAGGACTAATTTCCAAACAAAAATGCCGTGAGTCTTGGAAGTTTAGTGGCTTTTGTGTGGCGGCTGCTATTTTGGCGACCGATCGCTCACTTTTAATTTATACTTGGCAGTCTTACTCTCTTTTACTTGGACTATTTAATAAGTGTGCCACATGTGAGATAAAGTAATGACATTATACCGGAGATCTAGTCATCGATGGAAGTTGTGCGTGCTATGGTTATGAATCATCCAAGGGATTCATATTGAATATAATTTATCTGTGAGCAGAGGTCGAGTCGTTAAGCAAGAGTGGATTCATCCCAGCTGAATCCACGAGCCTTTTGTGCTTATAAATCGTTTCGGTTTTAATTATTAGCTGACGTAGTGATACCCCTGAGGAGGAAATCACTAATATAATTCTGCAACATTTGGACTTTTTAATACCTCTGTAGGGCATAGTGTGAGTTTGTAGCTTATTCTACTCCACAGGCAAGTGTATTCCAGTCATTTACACCACTATAACATTGATTAAGGTTGTGCAACGTATCTTTCTACGACATCGTAATTATCTCAAGTGACTTTGTGCGTGCAGTGTAGTATTTTTCTTTCCACATGGGATCCTAGCTGAGTCCATACATCCTGTTCTCTTCCATGCCCGTACTGTGGTCCATTATCAGCTCAGTGGACCTCAGTCTTTACAAACTTGTCGGGGACCTGCGGGCATGGGAGAAGCGACCCCTGCTCATTCTGCTGCAGGGGCTTTCGTACCCATGTTGGGGGTCGGTTTAGGAACTATGCCCGGGGGAGTCGGTAACGGACCGGTGGTGGCGGGCTCCAGGGGCTCCGCGGTCCCACAGCTGCACAACGCCATAGTGGAGCGTTTGCGCGCCCGCATCGAGCTGTGCAGGAGGCACCACTCCACCTGCGAGAACCGCTACCAGAGGGGCCAGGCCGAGACCTCGGACCGGGAGCACGAGAGCACGCTTCACCTGCTCAACATTGTCCAACAAGGGCCCGGGAACAGAAAGGCGAAGGGCAGCCGGGGATCGAACCAACAACCACCAGAGTACAGCAGGGCCAACGGAGAGCAAAAGGGCACGGAGGGCGACCAGAAGATCTCCACGCGCATAGCGGTGAGTTTCAGAGGTTATTGGACTTAACAGTTGGTGATGGTGGTAACAATGCAGCCTGAGAGATTAGTGTAGTGACCCTGCACTATGCATTATGCAGGGTCACTCACTGATCAAGAGTAACAGCAAACTGTTTTCATAATCGATCAATCACAAATATCTTTGGGACTTCACACTGAAATTGTATTGACCAACAAATTCTTAAAGAAAAAAAATCCAGTTTATTTGATAACCAAATTATAGTTAATTGAGGCCCTACTCATCATTATTGCCACTGGTACTGATGGTAATGATAATGATACAGCTTGTGTTAAAGATGACATCACATGCTGAATATAGTTATCAGGGTTGTGATGGTGAGGATTTTGTTGGTGAGCAAGCAGTTACAGTTCTGTCCAAATGTACAGGACAACATAACTCAGCCCACTTTCTTTTCTCTGCATGCTAATAGCAAGGTGCCGCTGGTCAGCTGAGAGCTGTAGTTTGTTCAGCCATAATGTATTAGGTAATGTTTCCACATGGATAACAATTCTCTTGGTGAACAAACAGTTTCGGCTTTGTGCAACTTTAAAAGACAAACAAATCCAGACCCACTGGCACACCACTCAAGCAAGGTTTCCAAACAAGAGTAATACACTTGGTTTCTGGTTTTGCTGATTAAAGGGGTCCTTGAAATAGATGGGATGATATAGGATCACCAAAATGATTTGAAAAGCAATCCATTCAGAGGAAATTGTTTTGGGGTCATTAGGTCATGGGGATGTTTTGCATTTACTGCAAACCCAGTCAGCATCTACTGCGCAGCTCATCCAAACAGAGGCACATTTTGTGGCTTGTTCAACCCATTTAGTTTGCACCATTATAGAATTTTCCAGTACAGAAAATGCAGTTTCTTCTGGGTCACATCAATTCTTGAGAGAATACTTCCTGTCATTTAACAGGGTTTCTCAAAGTGTGTCTTAAGAAGAGGTTTTGTTTGTTTCAAATGGATCCTGTATCATGTAAAAACAATATGATCTTATTTGGAGTAGTTTTTAGAACGATATTGAGAATAAAGGACAGTATATTTTTCATTTTTCCCTCAACAACAGGGGACAGGGTAGGGGAACTTGACTGAGACACAGCAGGGCTTTCTGTGTGTCTGCTAGTGCTGATAGCACTGACTTCCTGTAGGCATCTGTTAAGGGCACAGCCAGCGATATGTAAGATTTATTTAGTTGTTTTCTTTCATTGGGCATGGGGGAGTTCAGCATCTACTGTAGACTCTGAATTATTTCCCAAGCAGCATTTCAGTATGATGTCAAAAGGGTGAAAGCTTGCAGATGTTCCTGCTCTAGATTTGCTTGAGATGCTGGATGGAAAAATAAACAATGTCATATTTTTTTTCCAGTAAAGCCATAAAAGGGCAACGATGATTGTTCTGTCAGTTCATTTATTGTCATCACTGGAATTGAGCACGGGGTAGCCTCTGCGACTGTATTTGCTTAAGCCATGATAGAGACGTTCACATGCAAGAAAAGTAGATTTTCCATGATTTATCGAGCTAATATAAAGTGCAGTTGAGCCTTCTAGCTTTTCACATATAATTCAGTTTTATGCTGTTAGGTATACAGTACAGCCTTGAAACAAGTAGAGAGGCAAGACACAACAACACCATGAATTATATTGACTGTCTAAAAGAGGTCAGGGAAGATCATTATCATGTACTGTTTCATTTTTACTGATGTTGACTCTGGAGTAGCGTGTTCTACATAAAACTGATGAGTGCAGCAGGATGGTGAGGAGGAAATGAAGTCCTGGCGTACATGTTTATATCAACCCTGAGGTTAATATGTTTCTCACAACTCGTGATGATTCGGTGAAGCAGCACAACAGCCAGTGCAGCAATTCCCCTTGATGCATTTGAACGGAATCTATCCAGCATCAATACTGCAGAGAGTTCTTTCTTGCAATTATTCAAATTGAGTCAAGTGTAGAATAGCTCGCCTCTTGCAACTAAATACATGAATTCAATTTTTCTTTAAATATCTAGCTATAAAGAAAGTAACATTTGTGTTTCACATACTACATTTTTCTGGATTGAAAAGTAAGGCTTTTACAATAGCCACATCTGTGCACGATATTGACTGTTCACATTGGAATTTGCGATGGAAATGTACACCAAGTGAGGGGCAAACAACACAATGGATTATGACTGGCTGGGAGTGCAGAGTGAGCAGCACTTAACAACGGTGCTCATTGAGACCAGATTAACAAAGGATATTCTTTTAGATGAAATTGGAGAAATGGGGAAGAAGAAGAGAGTAGAGCTTACCACCGACTCAGGAAAATGATTTTCCATAATGCTTGCGTGAACTCATCGAAAGCTTTTTGGATATTCCTAGATTCATTTAATTATGTGAATCAATTTTTTTCCCTTTTTATACCTGCGTCAGTAAATATATTCAGCATGGAAATGGGCCAGGGCAGAGCTTACACAACATTATTAGTCCTGTATTACAATGTACAGACATTAAGTTTCATCAGATCAGTGTTCAGCCACCATCTTACATCTATCAACGATGCAGTTACAGTACACAAACTAACGGCTTAACAACAGCTTCACTGCGTGGAGTATGCCATGCATTGTCATACCCCATTATCATGCCTTTAACAAATAGCTCACTAAGCACCTTCTTGAAAGATGTCCTGGCCATGAAACTGTTTAAAGCACAAGGCCCCCATATAAATGTTTAGAGCCACTGAATACATTTCCTGCACGTGTTTACTTAGAGTCAAACAGGCCTTGAAAAAGCAGTAGGCGAAGGAGGCCTGGTGATTAACAGTGCTGTGTGCACTGGGAGCATTTTGTTATTTCCCAGTCTTGTTCTAGTGACAGATCTGGGAAGGCCTAGAGCAGCAAGCACTCATAGAGCAAGTGCTTTGTGTGCTTATGTGTTTGCCTGCTGTGTTTGCTCCTTTGTGTCCACCCCACGGCAGCAGCTCTTCTTTTTTTTAAAGCTGGAACATGAAGCGTCTAGGCATCTATTGGTCTAAAACAAAACCACAGAACCGTAACATCGCCAGTGTGACCAAATAACTTTGTCCTCCTCCCCTCTCTCCTGTTGTTACTTGTCACTATCTACTGCCCAAACAAGGCACAATGCTTAAATAATAAGCTTTATGTTTTTGGCACAATTGCAACACCCCGTAGAAAAAGTCAACATTGGCAATCGTCGTCAGTTGTACTTTTGTTGAGAGATCAGATGTTTCCATTTTGGGGTCGCAAGATACATCTGATCTGTTGCAATATTCTGAACAGGATAGGAATCAGACAAAACAACAAAAATAATTGTTCCTGTAGAGGTTGCAAAACCACTACACAATGGCGTTTGTTGCAGAATATGGTCGATCAAGACAAATATGGCAAAATGCATTGATAAGACATTATTTCAAAGAACAATAGAAAATGTATCACATCCTATAGCTCTTCCTATGACAGTATTGTACTACTTATTCTATGTACACCTTTTTGTATATACATTTCAAGAACATTTTGTTGAGCAAACACAGCAATGAAGACACAACAACCACACTTCTTAATTCATCATCACTGAGCTACTGATGGGTAGATTGACAGCTTTCTACCATAGCATGGAGAAAAAGTAATTCCTTGTTCTCTCCTGTGGTCATGTATGGTGGATGAAGAGTGTGTGTGTTAGTGTGGGGCGGGGTGTGCACTGTAAGTGCTTCCTGGCATGCCCTGTGTGGCTGTTGAACTGCCTGAATCGGAGCCGCCGGTGGTCTGATCTCAGCCAGGCTCGCTGTGATGTGAAACAATTAGCCCAGGTCCATGGGGGCCACCCAGAGTGGAGCCCGCAGCTAAACCCAGCCCTGTGGATGCAGCAAGGATCCAGGTTCATCCCACAGATCACTCCCATGTTGTCATGGGAAAGCCAACATTTTTCTTTTAGGAGTAGCAGGCCGTCAGTTGGTCTGAACACTGAATTACTTTTAAATCCCCTTTAGTGAGGACTGAAATCGCTGCAAGTGCTGTTTATTGACAGCCCTACTACACTGTAAGCCTGATGTGATTAAGCTTGTCTCATTGTATAGACCGTGGCTGGCTGTGAGATGAGTGGAGCAGCTCATAGTTTTCTGATTAAAAGACATTAAGATAGGCCTGCATATACTGTAGTAAAGCCATCTGTTAATCTCCTCCCTCTATTTGGGATTAGTGCCCATTCCAAGATATGTTTTAACACAGCCACAATCCAATTCTACTTATGCAAAGTGCATTTGTGGGTGTGGGATATGTATTTAAAATGGCTTCTATTATTCAAATGTGAGTGTTGTGTGACAAAAAACCTTCACAGCATGTGTTCATTATGTTCTCGGAAATACTTAATACTGATGGAAAGTAGCTGAGTCAAAAGTTCACAATAGTGTTACCTAACGATTTTATAATAATAATAATCTGGCAAACTTGTCAGATTGACAGATTTGAGTAAGCCAAACTAATAATTTATGCCTTATCCTCCATTTACGATCTGCTATAGATTTATTTTAAGTGTGCTATACAAGCTGATTTAAGTGAGGACTCATTTGAGGAAATTAGCCTCTTAAATTGTTATTTTTATACTCGTCTGCTCAATTATTTCCAGATTAATTTCAAGTAATAACTTGTTTCCAATGTGGATATTATGAAATCTTAATCCAACATGTCTGTGTTATATCTTCTGACTGACACAACATAAACACAAGGGATCATTATTACATTTTGCTCAGTGAAACACCACGGGAGCTTTTTTTAACTGATACACACCAGCCAGATTTACCGACTTGTGCAATAAAAGTTAGGACCATGTAACATTATGTTCTGGACATTCCACAGCCATATCCGAGGGCAGTTCATAAATGTTTAGCACCAACTAGATCTACATGAGTACAGCTTGTCCCTAAGGAAGGGGGAAGTTGTAGCTTAATATTACACATAAAGCTAATGCTGTAGTTTGTCAGTTTCC